CTGACCTAAGGTGAGTTTTAAATAGGGACAATTTTTAAACAATTTTAAAGAGCCACAGCTACTAATATTTGGATTTTAATTGGTTTTTAGCAGGGGAAAATTTCTTTTTGTACAATGTTTTAATATGCTGTGAGCCGCCCTGAGTCCCATGGGGAGAAGGGCGGCATATAAATTTAAATATAAATAAATAAATAAAATATCCAAATTTTTCAAAATCAATTGTTGTAATATTGCTTTTGATCTATTCTATTGAATACCAGAATTGCTTCAATGTAATTAGGATGTACAAAGTGGGAATGTAATATGAAAAGCATAGAGCTGATTACTAAGCTAGAGAAAATTGGCAATAGTAATAACACTTAGACTAATTACTGCTCCATAGTACTTACAGCATACACTGAACAGTTTACAATGTCAGTGTATTTGCCCTCAACAATCTGGCTCCTCATTTTACCGACCTCGGAAGGATGGAAGGCTGAGTCAACCTTGAGCCCCATCAGAATTGAACTCAAGACTGCGGGCTGAGTTTGCTTGCAATACTGCATTCTAACCATTGTGCCACCAGGGTTCAAAATTATTGTTTGAATTATTATCTGTATTAATATTATTTGTTGATGTAATACTTTTCTTCTTTTCAACGGTGTTATCTTAACTTTTATGGGCAAAGTACACTAAATATTAAATAGTTTAAAAAGTCTGTTAGATAAGCAAAAAATTATTCTAAACAAAACTTGCAGTGTTTATATCTTTCATTCTATAGAAATTAACTATTTTACAATAGTGTCCCAAAATGTGACTGGAATTAATGTTTCTTCCCATGCTTTATGTCTTGTGTTTCTGTTGAAATGTTAATAATTCATTTTCCTAAAGAGCTATCTTTTTGTTAAAGAATATTAATGAAATACTGATGGTTATTATTTTTATAACCTCAGAAAACTCATAGAATGTGCTTTGGTACAGTGTTTGAAATCTGGCTTGATTTTGTAAGTATAATCATTATGACCTATGGTTTTGCTCTTCTTGTTTTCAAAAATATTTTTCAAAATACTCATTGAACCAATTCTTCTCTCTCAACTAAATCTCCTAAACCAAAACAGTTTTGCTGCAGGGAAAAAAATGAAGAAAGAAATGTTAAATATTGCTTTGGACTTCTGAAAGATATAGTCCTAATCAAATAAATAGGGATAGGGATAGGGATGGGGATAGGATAGGGATAGGGGTAGGGGTAGGGATAGGGATAGGGATAGGGATAGGGATAGGGATAGAATAGAATAGAACAGAACAGAACAGAACAGAACAGAACAGAACAGAACAGAACAGAATAGAATAGACCTTGGAAGTCTTCTAGTCCAATCCCCACTCAAGCAGGAGACCCTATACCATCTCAGACAAGGGACTGTCCAGTCTCTTCTTAAAAACCTCCAGTGATGGAGCACCCACAATTTTTGAAGGCAAGCTGTTCCACTGGTTAATTATCCTCACTGTTAGGAACTTTCTCCTTAATTCCAGGTTGCTTCTCTCTTTGATTAGTTTCCAATTATTGTTTCTTGTCCTGCCCTCTGGTTCTTTGAGAATAATTTGATCCCATCTTCTTTGTAGCAGCCTCTCAAATACTGGAATATTGCTATCATGTTACCCCTATTTCTTCTTTTGTTTAGACTACCCAAGTCCTGCAGCCGTTCTTCATATGTTTTTGTCTCCAGGCCTTGGATCATCTTAGTTGCTCTTCTCTGAACTTTTTCCAAGGTCTCAACATCTTTTTTGTAGTATGATGACCAAAATTGGTTGCAGTATTCCAGGTGTGGTTTCATTAGGATTTTATAAAGCAGCACTAATACTTCGTGTGATCTCGATTCTATGCCTCTGTTTATACAACCCAGGATTGTATTAGCTTTTTTGGCTGCTGCTGCACATTGCTGGCTCATAGTCACAGTTACTGTTTTGGGGCCAGGTCTTATCTCATCTGTCTTATCTTTGATTTTTTCCTGCCTAAATGTAAAACTTTGATTTTCTCCACATTAAAACTCATTTTGTTGGATAGGGTCCATTGTTCAAGTTTGTCAAGATCTTTTTGGATCCTGAGTTAGTCTTCTGGGGTGTTGGCTATTCCTGCCAGTTTAGTGTCATCGGCAAATTTGATTAGTTCCCCTTCTATTCCCTCATATAAGTCATTGATGAAGATATTGAAGACTACTGGGCCTAAGATGGAGCCTTGTGGTACCCCACTGCTTACTTCTCTCCATGTGGATGTGGTACCATTGAGGACTACTCATTGAATACGGTTTGTCAGCCAGCTACAAATCCATTGTTATTACTTTCTGATTTTTTTTAAAAAAAAATATTCATAATCCCCAACTGCCCTGTAGTATAAAATACTTTTAAAATGATATAAATATGCATTTTCCCCATAAAATATTAAATTGCTAGGAACATTAAAATATCTGCTTTTTAAAAATAAAATTATAATTAGAAAAATGTGAAATTCATTTGGAAGGAAACTTTGTAGCTTTCTAAGACTGCTGTTTAATTTTGTGAGGAGTGCTAATGGTATTTCTGAATGAATGAATATGTTCTTTTACTTTCATGTGTAGTACTTGATTTAAGAAGAGAAAAGTGCTTTGACGCTAGGTGGCAGTCAGGAAGCAATTCTGATATGTTATTGTTTAATGGTGCTATACTGCATAATGTTTGTCTGTATGCATATTGTTTATTGAAGAGCTTTAAAAATAAAATTAAAATGAAATGTTAACTTTTTGAAGTAATTGTAAACTTCAAAATTTTAATATTTTGCCTGTTATCATTTGAACTTAGCTTTGAAACAGTGATCTTTGCAAATTGAGAGCTTAAGAGAAAAGTAAAGTTAAAAAGATAAAGGAATCCCTGCAGATTTACTCCGCTAGTAGTAACCAACTATGGTGCTCATCTCGTTTTCAAGGCCATTGAGCCAGCACTGTTCGAAGATTACCCTGTCTGGTGGCATTTGGTTCTGGAACCTGGGCTGCCAGCTTTCCAGCCAACAAGCCCAAAATCTTAACCACTGAGCCACAAAAAAGCAAAGTTATCATTCTTTTATTTAAGTAATATTGTGTATCTGTAAAGGTAAATATTATGATTATTTAAAAAATAGTAAAATATTATGTTTACTAAAAATTCCTATTCATATGTTTCATGTTTTCTCAAAATTACCCAATTCCTTGGTATGTTCTTGCCAGGACCAAATCCTGCTACATGTGATTCCAGTACTCTACCTTCTGTTTCTACCTGCTGTTTTTAAATTGACCTTTTAATAAGGCTGTACAGGCCAGCAGCTAATGTGCCATCCACAGTGGGAAATTTCAATGCTTGGCCCTAAAAAAATTTCAACAAAACTACTAGAGCAATTGTTACTACTTTCAGAACCCAAGACACCTTGTTCACTGCAGCAACTTATTTGATATGCTTGATATTCCATAGCAACCTGTTAAGATGGAGGACAGGTTGAATTCTTAGGGAGAGAGGTGAAAGGAGTTTTCTTTCTTTACTGTTCGATGTTCTATA